AAAAAAATGAGTGGCAATCCACATATGTTCAATGAATGGTGGCAATCCAACCAAAAATTCTTAAAATGTTAATTTGTGGCAATACCACTAATATTTGCTGTGATTAGTGGCAATCCCACTGTTTGCGAAGGTTAGTAGCAATCCCACTGTTTGCGAAAGTTAGTGGCAATCCTACTGTTTGCAAAAGTTAGTGGCAATCCCACTGTTTACAAAAGTTAGTGGCAATCCCACTGTTTCCGAAAGTTAGTGGCAATTCCACTGTTTGCAAAAGTTAGTGGCAATCCTACTGTTTGCAAAGATTAGTGACAATCCCACCGTTTGCAAAGATGAGTGACAATCCCACTAGTAATTGTTGTAGTAATTATAATGGCAATCCCATTCAAATGATAATAATAATAAACATAAGCTTGTTTATAAACAAAATACTGCTTCCTGATATTTTATAGGTAAACAAACAGTAATGGTAAACAAAGAAGTCGCGTGGACGCTTCCTCGCAGGATGGCCGTGTTACCATTCCGCTGATAAGCCGAACCACGATTTCCAAAAACTGTTAACGTAGCATATAGGATAGCCGAGCGGAACAGGAGAAACGAGAGAGACGAGGCCAGTTTTTAAATAATCGTCGGTACAGTCGGTTGCAAGTTGCCAATAAAAGTTATTTTGTGTGAACACATTGCGTTTATTTATTTATTGTTTATATATATATATTGTAACGGAAATGGCCTGGGGTACTCACGTTTGGAATGGGGGGATCGAAATTGATGGTATTTCAGTAAATGGGAGCCTCATTTGCGCCCCGTTTACTGTCAAATTTGACACTGACAAGCGGGAAGTTTCGCACCTGTTCTGGAGATTTCGAGAACCATCTGGGCTACCTGGAGGAAATTATATAAGCGACGACGAGAACCACACAGGGAAGGAAAGTGACAGCAGCGACGGAGTGCAGAAGAAGGTTAAACCCGCGAGTCGGTAGAGCGAGCTTTTATTGTTATTGTTTGTGAAGTTGACGGTAATTTTAAAATTAGTTTGTTCCTGTTCCGTAGTTAAGGTGATACCGAGTTGAATAAAAGTGGGAAGCTAAAGAAAGGGTTTGATACTCGGCCATCCACGGTACATTTGGTGTCAGAAGTGGGATTTACCAGAACCCAAGTTGAATTTTGATGGAAACAAGAAGTAAATCAAAGAAGGAAGACCCTGCAATGGAGAACCTCAGTTTGATTGCACTGCTCATAAAATATAAGATAAAATGGAAGACAACAGTAGGAAAATGGACGAAAAAATGGACAAAATGGAACACAACAACAGAGAGATGCTATCTAGCATTTCATCCAAAATGGACGACAACGTTAAGAAATTTGAAGACCTGAAGTCAACCGTTGAAAGTAAACTAAAGAAAGTTCAGGACGTGGAAATCATGAAACACCGCTACGATGGCGTTGAAAAAGAGATGAACTCGAACGCGCCTAGAGTGGCTGTAGTTAATCATCTCGCCAGACAGGTGCTGCACGTCGAGCATCCCAACTGGGAACACGCCAACGAGAAGCCTGAATTTGCAACCGCAATCTCGCCCAAGATTGAGGAACTGGCCGATTAGTTCGATGTTCTGGAACAAACCACCAAGGAGAAGGGTGAACGACTGTTTGACGCTAATCGCGAAGTACTGATTCATCAGACCTGCGACTCATAGATGAACGAACTCGAGAAACAAATCGAAAGCGACGACATGGGGTCGAATTTGGCCCCTGCGAATATTTTGATGCAAAAGCGGCAAATGATCGAAACGCAAATGACCGCCAAGGCGCGTCAAGTCGATGAGCTGGAGAAGCAAACCAAACATCTGGAAACGGCCGCACCCGACAAGGACATCAACAAAATCAAGGTAAAAAAGAGCAAAGTGGAGGAGCGCTTCCAGCTCATCAAGCAGACCCTCATCGGAAGACAGCGACTGCTGGAGAAGAAGAAGGAAGCCCTCCAGTTCCGACGGGATGTCGAGGACAAGCTTCTATGGATAGCCGAAAAAATGTCCCTGGCAACTTCCACGGAATACGGCAACAACCTGCCCCAGGTGAACACGTTGCAGGAGAAGAACCAGTCGCAGCAAACTGAAGTGGAGAACCACGAGCCGCGCGTTAACACCGTGTGCAACAATGGACAGAAGTTGATCGATGAGGCCCACGAAGACGTGAGAGAGTTCAGCCGGCTGATTAACGAGCTGCACAAAGCGTGGCAGGAGTTGAAGAAAGCCATTGATAATAGACGAGCCAACTTGCTGAGGAACGAGCGGGCGCAGCAGTATCTGTTCGATGCCAATGAGGCCGAGAGCTGGATGAGCGAGCAGGAGCTCTACATGA